CAAAGGAAAAACACTTTGCAAGCTGTCAAGATGGGTATAGGAAGGATGTGGAGCATTGTTTTGGTATCCTCCAAGCTCGATGGGCGATTGTCAGAGGTGCTGCTAGAATGTTTGATGTAGAGTCGCTTCGATCCATCATGATGACGTGCATCATTCTTCACAACATGATTGTGAAAGATGAGTACGATTATGATGCCGTTGATGAATATGAGCCAGACACGATAAACAATTCCAAAACATAAATATATTGTGCTCATGACACCACCGAATAACCCGTGCAACATGAGCCATTAGAAAGGGATGGACGTTACAATGAAAGGCTCATTCAACGATATACTGCACTTCAAAGGCCATATATGCACAATGCCCGGCAAATTGACTTGATAGAGCACCAGTGACAATTGAAACAAGCTCAAGATACTTAAGTTCATTTAGTGTGTTTGCTTTTATTCGGTGTGTTTATTTAATTTTTATTTAGTGTGTTTGTTTTTATTTGGTGTTTTTTTTAGTTCATTTAGTGAGTTTTTTTTTTTATTTGGTATGTTTATGTAATTTTATTTGGTGTGTTTATGTCATTTGAATTAAGATTCTCTTAGTATAAATAAATTACCAAATTAAATGAATTTACTCTCACTTTAAATAAAGTACTAAATTCAATAAATTATAAACAACATAAAGTACTCTATTCAATAAATAATAAATTACAACCCAAAGTACTCTATTCATCATCACTTAACCAATTTGTGGTGCTAGAATGATATTTTCTTGTCGTGCTAGGACCATCTCCTCTTGCTTTCGCTTCTCTTGCACACCTCCTTCGCACCACGTCATTTTTCTCCGACTTCTAAAAATATTTAGAATTTGGAACTTTCCTTCTAAATGTGTGTTCATAATGTCACGATCTCGTTGAGTTATTCTTTCTTCTCTAACATGTTCCCTTTCTTGCCTAAGTAGCTCTCTTTCTCTCTCATTAGCTTGAAATGCTCTGTCAACAGCTGCAACTTTTGCCTCCTTTCTAGTCTTATCAACCTCAAATTTCGCCATTTCCCGCGCCAAAGTCAATTCACCTTGGCAAACAAGTTCTTCCATGTACTTTGCATAATCATTCTTGGAAGCACTCCTTTTTCTCTTTGAAGCCTTCTTACCTTGAGGCCTAATTGGATAATAGGTCGAACCCAACGCTTGTTCAGGGAGGGGCGTTTCGGGCACTTCTTCTGCAGCATCTTCATGAAAATGCGAGCCATGACCGGGTGTAGAGTGTAGAGGGGTGTTGTTCATAAAAACTTCTGGACCGACAGACACAACTCTGAATTTAGGACAATCTTTAACAATATTCCAACATTCCCACCGGATGAATGATTTGTTTTTTGTTTTGGTTTTGGCACTATACCAAGCTTGTGCTTGAAGTTCCTACACAATGAGGGAAAAGAAATAATTATAATGAAAGTAGGTAACAAATAAATAATACAAACAAATAATTATAATCAAATTAGGTAACAAATAAATAATACAAACAAATAATTATAATCAAAGTATCTAACAAATTAATATATTGTTACCTGATCCGCTAAATTTTCCCCACTTCAAATATTACTACTAGCTTGTGCCAAGACGTCTCTCCATGTACTAAACGATTGGCTAAGTAATTTCCAACGACTAGACATCGATTCTTTGGTTCTTTTCCCACCCATTTTCTCAAGAAAATTGGTATGAATAAGACTCCACATTTCTCGCAACTGCATCTCATTACCCGTAACCGAATTATGAGTAACTTCAACCCAGCTAGTACACAATGCAACATCTTCAAGAATCAACCAATTCGTACCTACATCAGTAGTCATTTTGTTGAAAAAAATTGGATTGAAACTTTGAGAGAAAGATAGGAATGTGGTTGAAAGTAGTTGAGCAAATATGAAATTGTGGTGTACGGTAGATGATAATGAGAAGGTATTTATAGAAAAGTAAAAACAATTTTTTTTTTAATTTTTTACAATTTTTTTAATTTTTTTATTCAACTAATTAATCCCTGTTGTTGGATTTAAAAAAATTGAATTCCAACACTCCAGATTATGTCACATGGCACAACGGTAACTTTTTTTTATTTTAAAACTTTTTTTTATTTATAAAGGAGAATAATATCAACCATTGATCTCAGATCCAACGGTTGATATTAAATAAGAATTTTTTATTTATTTTTACCGTTGCAAATCAGACGGTCCACATTATCTAGCCGTTGAGATCCAACGGACCATAGGAAGCCATGTGGCTTCCCAATGGTAACTTTTTGAAACTGCGACGCGGGCCCCAGTCGCTAAAAACATGTTGGGTGACGCGCCCCCACTCGCGAGTGAGGTGCATGCGCCTGACAGAAAAAAATAAAAAAAAATGGGCTGACGCCTAGATGACGTCAGCCCTGCGTCAGATCCACTTCGGGCTCGCGGGTTGGCAATTCCTCACAGGTTTGGTGCTTGAGCCTGAACTGTCCCTCGGGCTCCCACACGCTGGAGTCAATAGGCCGAGCTCTAGGGCCTTGTTTGTTGGCCTGTCCCCCGAGCAACAACGGTGGAGTGCGTGGGTGTGGAGGGGAAGTCGAGGCCGATTGACAGTGGGGAGGGGAGGAGTGGGGTTTGTGATGGTCGGGGAGGGGTGTGATGTGTTATTAGTAACAAATTTTGGAGGGAGCGTGAAAAAATCATTGCCCTCCTAAAATATGCTAGAAATGAGACATAATTGACATAAATGACTCGATGTGCAATAAGTGACCAAATTTGAGGAGCACATAATCACAAATAAACTGCGGGAACGAAGCTCGGGTATTAATTTGAGAACTAATATTACAATTAACCCTAATTATACACCTCAAAGTGATTTTCTTTCTCATACACAACTTCCTTGATCATGTTTAATGTCTAATTTAATCTTTCCTTTTGCACCTAATGACACCAAATGTGTTAAGAGCATAGATGAGAGTAGAGCCCAGGAAACTAAAAGATCATAGATCGAGGAACCGTCGAAAATCGCGATCTTTAATGTGAGAATAAAACTCCCTATATAACGTTGCATTAGACCCATTCTCCCGCATATCGCTCCTGGGGGTCTTGTTACCATCACTGATCCGTTCGGACGGGCATGGCGCACATATTACAAATGTAGTTTCTTAACTTAGACTTTTAATACATTCTAGTCCAATAAGGATGTTTGACTCGACAGAGCATTTACCCTTCCACAGTTAATTTCTACACACAAAAAATTGACTAAAATGGCAAAAGATTTAGGAATGCCATTGTCAACCAGACAAGCAACGCGCAAGAAAAAGATGCACCTTGCTTGTACAAATAACAAAGAACCTTGATCACTATTTATCAAAAAAAGCATATTCTTTTGGCTTCTAGTTAATCACATCCATCCATAATTAAACAATATCAATCAGTTAATTAATTTTTAAACTCCATCTTTTAACTTTAAGCAGCTTCCATTTCAACCTTTTAAATCTAATTGCATTGCTAAACATGTTGTGATTCAATCTCTCTCTCTCTCTCTCTCTCTCTCTCTCTCTCTCTCTCTCTCTCTTTTGTCAAAACCAAGAAAGAAAATTGAAGCTCCCCATCACCATCACCAAGAGTTTGGCAAGGTATGCTAAACAAAAATTGAAAAAAGCTATGAACTTTGATTTTTTTTTCTTTTTTTTCTTTTTTGTTTTAAGCAATTGGGTCGTCAGTTTTTTGATATGCATGCATGAATTTTGGATTTTTAAGGTGACTGCTAGTTGGTAATGGGAAAGCATCAACGTTGCGGTTCTCGTTGTGTTGGCCATGATCACTCCAACAACGGAGTAAAGAAGAGCCCACGAAATCCAAAGAGGACGTGCCATTGTTTTGCAGTGTCTATTATCTAGAGGGATAGGGAGATGTGTGTTCGTGACATTGTTTCCTGTCATGCAGTGCTTTGGATTAGATGATTGCCGCCGTTACCACCACCACCACCACCACCACCACCACCACCACATACATTTCCATGAGTTTTCATGACCTCAATTGTGCGTTTGTGAAAATGTTTTGAGGTTTTGTTGCATCTTTTTTTTATTAGGAAAACTAATGAAAAGAGTTTGAAAACTTTGAATTTTAACGATAAGGACATAATAAAAAGTAAAGTGAATAGCACCATGATTGACTTTTTAGTGTAAAAATATGATTTTTCGTTAAAATTCTATTTTTTATTTGGTACGTCTTGGATCCTTGTGTAAATAAATATACATGTCAATGAAAGATCAAGGGTTGGACAAAGCATACACCGGTGATTGCGCGTATTTGAGGTTTACTTTCAAGGCCTTGTCTCTGTTGAGGAAGTGAATGACGATATTTTCCTTGTTCTCCTGCAGAAGATGAAGGTTTGGGGTCCTTGGGGAGAAGAACACATTTAGATACATAGAAAATTAGGGATTTGGTATATGTCAAAAGTCTACAAGAATCCAAATCCCATCAATTTAGAAATTGTTGCAGTTAGGAATTTTGATTCGAATATGATTGATTTTGATTGTACATATCATGATTCTTTAGCTTTTTCTCTGCAACTTTTAAAGTAAATTATCCAAGAATCATATAGTTCATTGAATTTAGACTCTAATTTTCCTGTCCATTTTCTTTTCTTTTTAATCATTATATACAAATTCTGTATATATATATATATAATAATTTCAGGAAATTGCATGACATGATGAGTGATTTCTACTTCTGCACTCTTCTTAATTTGACCGTTGAATTTCTTTCGATTTGTTCAAAACAATGATACAAAAACGGAAGTGTGTAGAGGTGAATTATAGTGTGCATAAATAATTTTCTGAAGTTAAAACAACGAAAAAAAACATCAAAGGAGAAGCAATAGAATAGCATTCCTTCATTTTTCTAAAAAGTCAATTTGATAGTTTTAATTCCTAAACAAGATAAATATTAATTGGAAGTATTTGTGCCTCAAACAATAATTTAAAAGGTGGAGACAACAAGTCCTGAACAAAACAAAACCCAAAATTAAAAATTAGCATATTGAAGGAAGTTCATATGTCATAAGGAAATTATAAAAAAATTTAATAGACTAGCTCTCCAGTGCATACCATGCTATGTTGCACAGAAAAACTTAGTAATTGAACTAGCTCTTAGGCTATTTCCAATTCTTTCTCCAGAAAAAAAAAAAGGAAAAGAAAAACGTTTTTCTAGCTATTGCAGTTCATCAAATGATATCTCAATTTCTTTATATCAGACTGTCTCAGTGGCTTTAGCATGAACATTTGAGCTCCTTCCTCTAAGCACCTGTTGTTAATTAGAAATTAAAACCATAAATAAATAAATAAATAAAAGGAAAGAACAAATAATCAGTTCATATTTACTTGTCAATCCGATTCGGTACGTTTTCAGATGACATAATCACCACTGGAACCTCCTTCATGATTGATGATTCCTGCTTGCAAAAGGGTAAGAAAATAAAGCATGATTATATATTTAACCATATTAATTACATGCTAAAAATTTATCAAAAAATCTGCAATACCTTGATTTTCTTGAGCAGTTCATAGCCTGTCATTCCTGGCATACAGTAGTCAGTAATTACCAGATTTACCTTTGAGTTTGAAACCTGCAAGTAAGAACAAGACCCTTCTCCCTTCTCAGTGTAAAGCTTAAAATATTGAATTAATACGATGGATTAATGGTAATTAGGTACTCACATTACTCTCCAAGCTATTGTGTTGTTGATCTCCCAAGCCCAGAAACTCCAACGCCCTTGCCCCATTTTCTGCAGTTGTCACTGCACCAAATAGAAGAAAATCATTAGCTTTTTTATTTTAGCAAGCAAAAATAGACTCTGTTTTTAATATACTTTATTTCCATTAAACAGCTTAATATTAATTCAATTCACCATTATAAAGTCTTCTTAATCTTTCTATTAAGCAATAAATGAACCATTAAAATGTACAATGTAGCGTTTCTTCCGGGAGGTGATTCTTACACTTACACTTTCTCCTCTTGCACGGAGAAAACAAGAGTGTAACATTCACTACCATTTATTTTCAAGTAAATTAGCATGAGAATATCTCGCAAACTATAAAAAAGAATGAAAAAAAAATGGAGGGTTGTGCAGGATTCAAGCAGATAGATTGTTACCTTTGCAAGACAAATTTGTGAGCAGCTTTTCGATCAGTTTTCGGTCGATGAGACTGTCATCGACGGCTAAAACATGGGGTTGCTCCACATTTGCCATGAAACCCTTTGAGGAGGAAGAAGAAGAAGAAGCCTCCATATTTCTTAAACCCTAGAAATAATAACTCCTCTCACTCTCTCACCCACCAACTTACAAAAATAATAGCCAAAAGAAAGCAAAGACGTGACTGCAGAAGAGGAGAGAGAGAGACTTATAACAAACGCAGTTGCAGTAACAGACAAGATTTAATTACATAAGACCAAAAACGAAACGACTTGTCTGAATCTGACAGTAACAATTAAGCATATGGGGATTCAAATTCATATATTAAAACATAAAGCAAACAAACTCATGGGAAATGTATGAACAGCATGCAATGTGGATTCTGGAAGGTGGGATTTTTGTATTTATTTATAGAGATTAGAGACTGTGGTAAGTAAATGCATATGCAGATATGCTGCTAGAAAATTTGAGAGAGAGAACTGAATCAAATCAAAGGTAGAAACCCAAAGAAGATCACGAAATATCTGTGACTTGGTATATTTTATTATCTTCTCTATCTCTATGGTTTTCTCTCCCTCTGCGTGCAGAGAAAATTAGTCGGTATCAGAATTCAGCAATCTGCATGGATACAGCTGCTAAATTATGTCATTTGATTCACTTTATAGCAGGTTTTTACTGCTGCTGGCTGCTGATACAACAATAACCATGACCTTGTGACATAAATTCAAACCCCCAACAAATTTAAAATTTATAATTTTCGAGTGTGGCTTTAATGTTACGTAGAACTTAGTGTTTTTTACTATTATATTTAATATGTACTACTAGTATATTTTCTACTTTCAATGTCAGCAACTCATTTTCTATATCACTCAATTATATTCTACATTTTAAAAAAGTGCATCCCATCTTTTGTATTTGTGAATCTTGATTTTCATGTTTTTTTAAGGATAATTTTCGAAATGCTAGTTCTATTTAGGAAGAAACATCAACTAGTGCTCTATGAAAACTTCGATTAATGGTTAAGGACAAGAGCACCAAAGCAAATTTTTTATTTTAATTTTTTTTAAGTATCTACAAACATTTGACACAACACATATTTAACCATTGAATTTGATTTAATAACTTGAATTGAGTGAAACAAGATTGCTCGGTCAAATAGTGATAGCGTTAGTGCATATAGGTACTCAAAAAGAAATGAGCAGACTTACGTTAATGTAAACGGACTCAAATTGAATTTCCTTTCATAGTTTTGAAAAAGGTAGATTGGATTGAACAACAGCAAAATTGGTGGTTGCTTGAGTAAATCTGGTCAAAGGATGGAGGTGGTGGAGTTACTACACCAAATCCCCATACGTCAAAAAGATCCGAATCCCATCTGTCTTGATGTAGAATCCATGCATATCCGATGCATGCATATTACATATTGAGTACTATGTTTTTTTATCACATTTTCATACCACCTTAGATGACATTTGATATGAATAGTCACATCAATTGAATTAATCATATTTTTAAATTTAGTTCATTATTTAATAAACTAATAATTAAGAAAAAATAGTTAATTAAAGGGACACTTTGGATGCGGTCCCTAGCTATCAATATTCTTTAATTGAAACATTGTTAGTTTTTAGTTTTTGATTGAGGTCCCTGACATTAATGTAATAATGTAAGTTACTATATTGTTTTACTGAAAAATTAAAAATTGAAATTTATAATTGTTTATATTAATGAGATTTTAAATAAAACCCATAATTTATGGGATTAAAAATAATAAAATATAAATTATACTCTCTATTATAGTGTGTGTGTGTACATATATGTATGGGTACATTAACCAAAATTAACAAAAAAAGTTACTGTACCAAAACATGGATACATTCTCAAATCAACGAAAAAGAATGTACCCATATAAGTTTAAACATGGATTAAAAAATTTGAATGGATTTTATATTAAAAAAAGGGTACATTTTACATATAACAAATTGATATATTTGAGAATGGGTACATTTAAGATTAAAAAAATTGAAAAATTATATGAATGGGTACATTTAAGATTAAAAAATTGAGAATCTTTTTTTTAATTTAATTTAATTTTTTATTATTTTGGAAATGTTTGAATTGAAAATTAATTAGAAGTTTAATAGAGGTGTGAGTATTAAACCCTAAATTAATTACTAATTTTTATATTAAAAAAATTATATAATAAACATGTAAATTCATTATCACATTAATGCTAGGGACTTGAATCAAAATTTGAGAACTAATAAGGTCTTAGTCAATGAACAGTAAAAACTAAGGACCGGATACTAATTTTTCCTTAATTAAATGATGATTGTGGTATACGATGAGTCTTTCTTCTTCCTTTCCTTGGGTTTTGCAAATTTTTCAAATGATGTAACTGTCCACATCAGATGCCACCTAAGGTGGTATAGAAATGTGGTATAAAAATATGGTATGAATAGTATTACTCATTACATATTACATGCGTAAATACACAGAACCTTTGTCATGTCTTTCTTTCTACTCAATACTAAAAACAACAGTTAATTTGCATGGACCAAATAGTGAGTCTTCCGTAACAACTATGGTCTAGTATTATTCCTCTTCGCTTAGAAGTGAGAGGTCTCAGGTTCGAATTTCGTGGATGGTGAATTCGATACCAAATTAGGTTGCCTGTTGTGTGGCTTAGCCGAATTCCTCATAGTGTAAAAATATCGATGTACTAAAATAAAACTATGTTTTGCTCCTCCCAAACTCATACGAATACTATATGAATCGTGAGCTTAAATATTCTTGTTTCAACCGTAAGATGAAAAGAAAAGAAAAAACTCAAATATTACATAAAACGAGTTTGATGTATTTGTTTCTAGACATTAATTTATTGAGTAAATTGTAGCTATAGTCCATTAACTTTAACTCAATTGAAGTAATGGTCTCTCAACTAAAAATCTATTACCATTGGTTCATCAACTCATCAAAACGTGCAGCTATGGTCCCTCAACAAAAAATTCATTACCATTGGTCCCTCAACTTTAATTCAACTGGAGAAATGGTCCATTAACCTTAACCCAATTGTAGCAATGGTCCTTCCAACATAACTCGATTTGACAAAAATTTTGACGTAGTTGACAAAAATGACCATAATTACACACTTTGATGAGTTGAGGGACCCTAATTATATAAATGGTTATTCCAACCTAACTTATTTTGACAAAATTTTGACGAAATTGATGAAAATGACTATAATTACACATTTTGATAAGTTTAGGGACCAATAGTAATGGATTTTTACTTAAGGAACCATTGCTCCAATTTGATTAAATTTGAGAGATCATTACTACAATTTACTCTAATTTATTTCATGAAAGTGTATCTTGGATGAAACATGCTGCTAACAAGTTAACAACGTAGTACATGTTGCATTACTTGTTTTAAAATATTACTAGTTGGTGCCTGCGGACTAGGGTGAAGAGCTGAACCTTTAAATTTCAATGCATGCTTTGTTCTGCAAATTGCAATTTACAAAGCATACAGTACAATTTCAACAACAGATTACAGACAAGACTGGTAAATCTATAACGGATAACAACTTCTTGGTAGCTGACGTTGACATGTCCTTGCCGTTTGGTCCACTTGTTATGGCTTTGCTAGCTTTAAGGGAAAATGTGAGTTATATCTATCTCGTTGTGAGTAGTGGTAGATTTTTCGGTGTACTTAAATAGAAAACGATACACCGCATGTTATAATATAAAATATACCTCAAAATGAGACATACAATGCGTTGCAGTACGCATTAAATTTCTCGTGATTGGTTCCCTCTTATCCTAATGAAGGTAGAAATTGACTCTGCTCGTTTGTACTTCTGTTTCACAAAACGGGTCTCTTGCACGTACAATTATGTGCAAGCGACCTAAAAACAAGTGCAGACAAGTTTTTCTCGGAATCCTTCTAGCCTAATTTGAAATGGCACATCGGCACTTCATCTCCGGGTTCAAATTGATCGTGTGAAACCGTTTGATATAACAGTATAAGCGGCATGAAAGCAATTTTCTTTAACCTGTAATTCCATAACATCTTCACATCGAATAAGTAGAACCATATGGTGAGCGAGAACTTCGTTGAATAATGAGAGTTACATTGGTTGTAAGGGCAAGTTATGATCATTTGATGGTTGCCTTGGGGATGGATGATGTACAAGGCCCAGCCGAGGTCATAAACGGAATACCCTTGAAGGTAGCCACGCCCTTGTCGTCAGTGAAAAGATGCTGCAACGATGAAACACATGAGATTCATATGCCCAATTCTAACTTTGAAGCATCATAAACGCAATGTTGTAGAGATACTTAATGCAAAATTGATGAGAGGGGAGATTATGACTATTCTGACCAAATTGCCACAACTGTAATAACTGTCAATGCCTCCGTAAAATTCCAATACGTAAAAGAAATGCAAGAATGGATTCATAATCAATAGAAACACAGGCCTATCGACAAACTGATTCCTACACGGATTGAGACACCTCCAGTACCCCAGAATTTTAAAGTGAACTTTTTAATGGTTAGCCGGGCAGTAATTTGTGGACTGCAAGTTTCCATATAAGTAGTGAACAGTCTAATTAAATTAGGCAGCACATCTATGGTTGTCCCCTAATCACACTAAGAAGATCCACAAAACGAGAGCAACGAAAACATACCGGAGTGATCTTGTCCAGCTGTTTCTTTTTTGGGTTCAGAACATCTTCTGGCTTTCCATCAATCCTGAATAGAAAGAAGTGCATGTCAAGAGAAGTTACCAATGAAAGAAAATGTCTGTTTAAGCTCCAAGTAGTTTCAGCTAACTCACCCAGAAAATGATACACGTTCCCCCGGTTTAGCCCCTTGTGGAGGGAGCAAAGGCTCTACAAGGGTGTGATCTTCGTTAGAAGCACATAGCACCTGAATACATGCACACAAATGAAATCCATACCTTTATATTTGTTTAGTAGAAGCTAAGTTTAGAAACATTCAGCTTTCACTAAAAAAGGACTCTTCATAAGCCAATTTGGAATCTTATACTAGAGAATAGTAGGTGGGATTATAAATATTTCCTATGACCGATTGGAGTGAAAACTTGAATACTTTGAGTATAGATATGAAAATGAAGACATGATTTTGATCACTAGTTAAGCAGTGTAGGAGTAAACAACATCCCCTTTCCAACTCATAAAACTACCTCAGCAGCAAAAAATATGAGTTAAATGAGAACACTCATACCAGTCCTTGTGACATCACATCCCGTAACTTCCCAGGTTTCACATTCGTAATCAGCACAACATGACGGTTCTGCATAGTGCATGCACCGAGTGGATACATCAGAAATTAAGTGTGACATTCATCTGTCTTAACAACTATGAAAATAAAATGAACAGAAAATATGCAAAAGATTATGTAAAAAACTGTCTAGTTCCAAAAGATCAAGTAGTAATCATACTGTCAACTCCTCTGGACTGATATATTTTGCCAAGCCGCTGACCACTTGCCGTAATTTAGCTTCTCCAACATCTATCTCCTCAACCAGTAAACTGTATCAAGTTTTAAAACATGGGTTATGACTGATTTTGCATACTCCAAATATGCAATAGCATTCAGAGTCCAAACTTCAAGGTAAGACAGCCAGCAGTTTAATTAGCTTTTTAATGAATTAATGGGGCACCTAGACAAAAAGAAAGAGAAAAAATGTTGCCCACACACCTATCGGCAGACGGATGCTTCCAAGCTTTGCGCACGAGGCCAACCTGTATATTCAATAAACTGACACTAACTTCTTTGTCTTTCTCAACTGCCTCTGTTTCTGGTGATTTTTTCTTCTCTTCAGTAGCTTTCTTATCTGCTTTCTTATCCGCTTTCTTATCCGAAGTAATTTTCTCATCTCCTGCTGCCTTTACCTAACAATTCCAATAAAAAGGTCATCGGGAAAGAACAGTATACTAAGGAAATCTGAAAGTAGAAGCATTTGTTCAGATTGTAGTAGTTTACCGCACAAACCCAACCATCTATATTTGAAATAGAGCGATCAGATATAATGTTGGTCAACTAACCGATGAAGGGCAATATGGTTATTCCCAGTTATATTTGAAAGGAACAGTATAGAAATTTCTATCTAGAAGGTTTAATTATACAGCTAAAATAGTTTTGTATGGACATCTCACATAGTAGTATGGGTACTGCTTGTAATAAAAGTTAAAGAACTTAGGTGGTGGATACCCATAATTATGCATCTAGCTACTTGGTCTTCAGATGAGGAACAGTGGTTCATGAGCATACTCTACTACACTGTTTGGTACCGTTAATCATTTCACAATTCTATGCTTTTTTTTTTCTAAAAAGAAATTTCATGAATTCATGCTTGCAGGAAATCCAAAGCATTGTTAGAAGATAAGTTAGATAACTATCTAAATTTTCTTCTCAAATGAATTGAGTTTTTCTATTAACTACATGTTTGAAGCATCATTACGCATGTAGGTATAGCCATAAAATTTACAATTAATATGATTACAAAGAAACATGTCATATGTCGGTAAGATTATTTGATTGTACACGATAAAGAACAGGTGAAAATTTAAAAGGATGTACCCCAGCATCACTTTTCTTTGTGTTCAGGTCTGCCTCTGGCTTTTCTGCACTTTTTGCGCCTTGAACAGTCTTCTTTGCATTTGAATCAATTTCTACCTTACCTGCATTTTTTGCTCCCATCAATTCATCCAACTTCTGCACACATAACGATCAAAGGATACAGAGTAACATAAGTCAACTTTGTGATTCACAAGAAAACATTTTTTTTTACTATCTTTTCAACATTTAATATTTCCATTGTATTGCAATATCAGGTTCAGAGAAGAAAAACTGTAAAAGGGATTCAAGTTAAATAGTAGATTTTACTTACTCGAAAATCAAATTTATCCTTCTCTATCACTATCTTCTCAAGTATGTCCCCAAAATCCACCTTGTTCTGGAGGAGAAAAAAGTTGTGAGCACTAGTCGACTACGACATTTCTGAAAGCTACGCGTGGAAACAATAACAAGTAGCTCATATTTTTGCATCTAATGACAGAAGTTCGTAACCACATGGTACTTTATTCCACCTGAAATTACTGTCACACTTTGATAAGTGTTGCTAATAAAATTAAGGGGGAGCCCTGGACAGTGGACAGTGAGATTGAACCTTCACTGAGTCTGAATTAAAGATAACAGCACTACCCACGACATGGGGACGTACCTGGATGTAATCCACCCATCTCAACAAATGCGGCAACTTTTGCCTATCTGAATTTGAAAGTCCAATCTGCAGATAAACCACTCAACAAAATCACCACGATTTCAAGCGCCATTGCAGCCACATTGGAACAAAATGCGCGTGCACGAATTAAAAAAGAATTCCAGAAAATACTAACAACTAAAAAGTCTTGCATTTCTTAAGCAAAAACATCAACAGAATTACAAATCGCAAAAGTATCGAAAAATGCAAAACAAGATCGAACGCATGCATGCAGAAGAACAATCCATTATCCATACCACAGAAGAATGCACTGCAGCAAACACAACAGCATCAGCTTCAGAGGGGGTGAACCCATTGCCCAAAAGCACTGACACATCAACCAAGGTTTCATTCAACCCTTTGAGAGCTCCAGAGCATGCCTGGGAATCTGTAGGAAAACCCTCTGCATATCTTATCCAATTCACCACCTACAAACCCCAAAACACGAAACTTTTACTTGCAGATCACATAAAAATTACCAGAAATCCAATTCAACTAAGCTTTTGAGGCAGTAAAACTGTAAAACATTACCCCATCTTTCACTTCCCCTGCAGCGTCCTTTTTGGCTGATTTCAGTACGGTTGAGTACAAGCTCGTGACTTCATCGCCAGCGATGTTTTCCGGCAACGATTTCTGCAGATATCGAGCTCAAAACTTGAGCAATCAAAGTGGCAAAAAAGTTAAAAACTTGAAGCTGATTGAGAGAGATGAAGTTGCTTACAGGATCGAGAGAGAAGTATTTGCAGAGAGCCGATAGTATCAGCTGCTTTCTGCTTACGCTGGTGCTTGCATTAGCTGCCATCTCTTCCCTGCACAAATCAGAGCTCCACAATTTCTCAGTTCAGAGATGAGTGTGCAAATTCAATTGGGAGATTTAGGGTTTTTGCATGATTTGGGCTTCCTTGGGCTCACCCATAAATGAAGACACTGTTGAAAAGCCCAAATAGCCCATGAGAAATAAATAAAGTGAATGGGAGTAAATAGGTCATTTTCCAGTCACCGTCACACTGAAAAATTATCAACAATGTGTTATGTTAAGTATGTTGCTCACTTATATTGTACCATGTAGTTTCATAATATTGAGCGATTGCTAGTGGCGGATTTAGGATTTGAACCTTGGGAGGTCATAGGGTTGATCTAGAAACAAAGCGCGAAGTGCGCAAAAAAAAATTCGTTTTTTCATTGAGGCATTTCGCATAACAACTTGGTGGGCTTGTTTTCGTTAACCAAACCATGTTGCATGCATATCAACAAATATCGACATATATCGAAGCAATCTGACGAGTGATATCAAGATAATTTGTCAAGTTTTATTGACACAAGCTGTCAAGGTATGCCCATCAGGCATCATATCAAAACACTTGGAAAGGACAAAAGAAACTCGCACCAAATATTGAAGAATAATCGAAAGACCTTCACATGTATATTTTTTGAACTCCATGTGATCTTGCGACTACCTTGATCCCAATATACATCCGCCCCTAAATAGCGCACATGATTATTTATTCAGTGGCACTAGGTATTCACTTTGTTGAAAAGAGGTAATAGAAAAGAAAACTATTGAGCTATTAGTCTTTGTAGTTGTTGGGTTATTATAATGTGGAGTGCTTGATGACATTTGAAGAACCTATCCTAAGTCTCATAAGTGGGATGAACGTGCATGACTTTGCATGAAAAAATTTCTTTGATAATGACAAAAATTGACTCAAACTCAAACACATCACATTATTCGGCTCGGTTCAACTTAAGTTTTTTCATAACAAATCGAATTAAATCGGATTGTACCCACCCCTAGTTGTTACAGAGAATTCAAGGACTAACATTTACCAACTATATGGATTATGAAGAGTCCCTCCACTAAATTTTTTTTTGAAAAAAATGGTCCCATTCATGCATCGTCTTGTTCTTGTTAGTTTTTTCCTCCTCCTTCCAAAGCTGCCGGTATTCTTTTGGTCGAGAATTTGTCAACCAGGGCACACCACGGAAAAAGCAAGTTAAAAACACAAAGACAAAGGTAAATAAATTGCAGAAAAAGCAAGTTATAAACACAAAGGCAAAGGTAAATAAATTGCAGAAGGTGCATCAATTGGACCATGTCGTTTTACTGTCAATTGTCTATATTCCATACTTTTTACCTGGGATAAGAGAAAAAAGTGAAAAGTAAAAATAAAAATATCAAATAATAAAGTGCGGGGAAATAGTAAAGAGACTATTTTAAAAGTGAAAAGTTTTTAAGCAATCTGTATCACTGGCATAATATTTTATAATATTAGTACGAAAATTAACGTTAAACTGTGAGATGACAGAGTGTTCTTGAAGAGTCTCACTTTGTGAGAGACCCCTTAACATTTATCATAAAGTCAGATAAGAGAAATGCTAAGGGACTCTCTTAAATCTGAGACTCTTTATGAACTCTTTGTCAGCTCATGTTTTTTACTCAATCTTCTATAATGTTGGCACATAAATTAACAATAAAATTCCATGTGACACATGGTTCATCGAAAATTCCACTTTAAAAGAGTTCTCTTAACATTTCTCAATCAGATAAAGTAGTTGGCACAGAGAGAGAATTCTCCTTCCTAACCGCCACTTACAAAACTGGTGGAAAAAAAGGCTCTAATGAGGTTTAGGGTTAGGGTTTTTGGGCAATAGTGCTTGACATTTAGTCACCACATGTTCATTTGTATTGGGATTAATTTTGAATTAATTAATTAATCATTGTATTATCAAAAAACTAGGGTTTGTTGAGGGAGGGAAGGAGAAAGGAAGATGAATTAACAGTTTGGTCCGGTGTTGCAGAGGGTGGAGACAGCGGCAGCAGTTGGGGAAAATGCTTGACAGCCTGAAATTTGTAGTGCAGAATGGACTCATTCTTTTGGTAGTTGAGTAACCTCCAAATTCTTACCATAAAAGGGTGAGCACTAAACCTCAATGCATAAAACAACACAAAATGCTACTCCAATTCCAAAAATTCACAACCCTCTCTATACATCCCTTTCAAAACTATTTTGAACATCGATAATGTTGCATCTGTAAAGATCAGTAAAGCTCGAGAAGTGAGTAAGTAATTTATAGATCTTAAAATTGATCAAGGGAATGCCCAATTTGATTTACGTACACGAGTACATTATTATAACGGTATTTCAAATTATCAAATACGATACTATGTATTTTAACACATAATTACCACTACAATGAAATATTTGTTATAAACATCTCTCTTCTAAAACACGAGAAAGACTTCTTTACACCTTCCCATATGCTATGGTAGGATATCAAGTGTTGGTAAATCTTAAGTTCATTCTCTAAAAGGCTTTCTAGCCGAAATGGTCTATGAGATTGTCATAACTCTTCATCTTGGCTCTTAAGATATTAAATCAATAGAATTGATCCTTGAATTTGTCAATCATTAATCACTTTGGTCATTTCACGTAAAATCTTTGTTAAATAAGGATAAAATGATAAAAATACCCTCAATTTTTGTCATATCATTTGACCCATTGTTTATTAAATTGAAGATATGTTTGTCATTTTGGTCCTTACTTAATGGAATTTTTTCAGGAAATAACCAAAATGATTAATGGTGGACAAACTCAGAAATCACTTCTATCAATTTCAAATCTCAAAAACCAAAGTGATGAGTTACACCAATCTCATAGACAATTTTGAATTAAAAATAAAAGAAGCCCTTCTCTAAAATTAGAAAGTAACATGCATAAAATGGGTTCAACTCTGATTTTCCACGAAACATCTAAATCTAATAATGCAATGTAATATAAGAAAAATGAAGGCAAAGAAAGCTGAGTCCTTGTCACAACCCAGCAATCTGCACCACACTTCTTCTCTGTCACATTTTCTTTATTTATTACACCACCCACCTTTCACCAACTATTTAATTGCCTTCATAGCTTTTTTGCCTCCACTTTTTCTGTTTATCCACTATGCACACCCAACTCTCCCCTCACTTTTTCACTCAGCTCAGCTGTGCCTTCTGTTTATGCAGCAAGCAACTTTGCAAATTAAACCCTATGCACCAGAAAATTACAATTACTCCCACATGCCAACAATGCCCGGGATGTTTTGAACGACCCATAACCTGACACGAAAATAAAAAGTTTCGGCCAACCTGTTAACCCGACACAAAGCTACACAATAATAATAGGTTCAGGTCAACTCATTAATGAGTCGGGTCATTATCAGGTCATTTATTTAGAATCCGTTAACGATTCAGATTATGATCGGGTTAACGTTAAAAATTTGTTAAGATAATAGGTATGATATGTAACGACATGAACACAACTTGTTTGTCCGGTCTAGACCTTCGGCATGACAGTTTTTTGCATGACCAATCAATTTGACAAGAAACGACACGGCCTATTAACGAGTTGAGTCGTTATTAGGTCATCTATTAAGAATCCGTTAAGATAACAAGTTTGACTCGACACAATCCTTTAAGATAACGAATATGACATAAAAACGACACAAATATTTTCAATTGATTTATCCTTTCAATTGGTTGGTATTTTGTTTATCCTCATATCTTTCAAAAATTGAAACATAGGAAAGTGCTTTAGAAACATATGTATAAAAAGAACAATATTTCATTTATCTTTTTCATGCCAAACATGACAAATATCACCCGTTTGCTAGGTCTCCACGGATGTCCAATAAACATTGTATTAAAATGGCAAATAAACATAAATGTTGATGTACAAGCCAAGTTTTTGTTTCTTTATTAATTTAGTTTATGATTATGTTATCAACTGCCAGTCTAAAAGACTGAATCATTGATTTAGGTAATCTGCATTATTGCTTATATAATTAAGTTCGAACAAGTGCAAACAATACAAAAAATTAAGTTCAGGATACCAAAATCCTAATCAAATTGGTGTATTCAATTGAGATTTTGAAGGATTTTAATTCTTTTAATGAATCTAGGGGTATTCAATCAGGATTTTAAGTGATTCTCTGAAATTCAAGGTGTATTCAATTAGAATTTTAAGATAGTTTATTAAAATCCTTAGAAATTCGGGTGTATTCAATTAGGATTTTTAAGAAGTTTATAACATTTCAGGTGCATTCAATTAGAAATTGATTTTAAAGAATTTGAGAAAGTTGAGGAACTAGAGGGAATTGAAAAGATTTCGTAATGTATTTTAAGCATCCATAAATCTCACATCTCCCCATGAGATTTTGAGGGAATTGAATCAAAATTTTATATGGAATCTCTACAAATCAATTAAACTCTATAAAAATCCATGAATTTATAAATCCATTAAAGTCTCTCAAATTCTCAATTGAATACACTCCCCTTATCTAGCTTTGCATGATTTTCATAATCTTGTTTATTCGAAAATTTTGATTTTAATTTATGCAATGAATCCGAAAATTTCAATATAAAAATTAAATAATTTAAATACATCATTTTTGCTCTTTATGCTTATTTATTTCTGATGTTTGGATTGAGTAATTTATAACATATGTCTGCGTTGCATAAACAATTTTACCTAAAAAATGTTAGCAGCAACATGTCATAACCATAACTTCACACATAGTTTTTCAGTCACATTCCGCTCCGTCGACGGTTACCGCCACTTGTGCCTTCCTCGTCATAAAGCGCCATCGGTAACGACGACTGGGCGTGTTCCACGTCGGACATTGTACACCCTTCGGGGATTCTGGAGATCCTCAAATAGTATCCGTTCATCATATATCGTGCGACCAGTTTTCGTCAAGTATTATTCATTTTTAATTTAAAATAATTTCGGATCGCATGATGTATGATGAACATATATGATTTGAGAATTCCCATGATCCTCATAAAAAGGATTCGGAGATGATGCTCATTCATAAGAGCACTTCCACCGGAACACCATTAGGCC